GTGAGGTAGAAGGGGATAAAGGATTCTGGCCTGAAGAAACAGTGACTGCAAACCTTCAGACCAAAGTGCCCTTTTTGTTCATATTAATAACACTGAATATGGGGGCCTCCTTGGTGGGGCGAGGGGTTAAGACACAGCACTATGAAGCTATCCGCAGCCACTGAGTTTGAGCCCCGGCCTGGGAGGTGACACACATGGTGCAGCAGACCTCTACTGCCTCGCCGGCTGCTCCCCTCAGCAGTGTATTTCAGTCAATCTGCCTATTCTGTTCCCCTCTCTGCCTCTGGTGAATCCTCTCACCCCCGCACCTCTGGCCTGTACCCCAGTTCTTGTATGCATAAATAAATAAATGTTTAAAAAAATAATACTGAATACAGCATTTAAGGTGATGTAGCTCTTTTTATCTCAATCTTCATAACCTATTAAGGATCAGGTCATTGATATACTGCACCTATTTGAAACACTCCAGTGCTTAAACTGTCCAAGCTCAGATGATTTCACTCAAAGTGTTTCTCATCTTTCCTTTGTCTCTGTTTTCTGAGCATTATCCAGGTTTACTTCTATGCCTTCTTTTCTGATTCTGTAATATGAAAAGTTCTTGTTTGCTATTAAGTCTACATAGGAAATATTTAAAAGAAAATGCCCTGCTTGGTGATGAGAGAACTATGGGGACTGCATCTGAAGGGAGAAATCAAATACTGACCAAAAATTTAAGAAAATAAGTTAATTTAATTACAAAACTTAAAAAAAAAAATCAACTCAGAAAAAAAACCCACCTAAAATTGATGATTTAAATATAATTTTCTCTGGCAAGTTTGCATGATTATGAGCAGAAACTCTGGCGTTAAATTGCTATTCAGTAACTGTGTGACTTTGGGAAAATTGCTTAGACCTTTTCTGTCTCAGTTTTCTCATCTGTAGAACAAAGATAACAACTGTACCTATACCTAACACAGTTGTAGTAAGAATTAGCTGAGTTACTGCAGGGGACGGGGAGGGAGCTGGATTAAAACAGGGGAGGGAAGAGCACAAGGGACTAGGGTGATGGTGCACAGGTGAATTGGTGGTGGGAATTTTACAGGGAATACACCTGAGAGGAGAAAGCATACATTGTACAAAAAGGAAGAATAATGTAATATAAATATATGTCTATACATATATATAATTAGCTGAGTAAATCTATTACACTTAAACTAGAGCCTAGCACATAAGAACCCCCCAATAATTATTAATCATAATTCTTATTTTCAAATCAACAATTTTATACCTATATAATTTTTATTTAGATGTGATCATGGATACAGAATGCATTGTGTACTTTTTTTAATAAACTTTCCTCTACATGTCTATCTTATTAACATAATATTTTTAATGATAGCCTGAATTCCATACTTTTGATATATTTGATAAATTTTCTTAATATTTTCTTATTATTGGACATTTAATTAATTAACTAATTAATTAATTATATTATTATTAGTGATGATGTTATAAACATACTTTGTATATGTTGTCTTTCTTTTAAATTGCATATGGCACCCATTCCCAGGAATATAATTTTTGATTTTGTATCACACATTTAAAACTCTTTCCTTCCTGCTATGTAGTTCCAAAGAAGCAACTATTTTCAGTATATAATGGAAAGAGAGGCAGATATTATTATAACAACATGATGAAGTCAACTTCACATAGAAACAAACTCTCAATCTGAGACTGATAAGGTCCCCATTATTATCCTCATTGTTATCATCATTCATTCATTCAACAAACATTTATTATTCACCTAGGATGGGCCAGGTCCCTTTTGGACTGGAAGAAAGTAGCAAAAGGAATTCAGAGACTTACAAAAAGAGTATGAGAAACTTCAAATACAACACCACTACATAAACCTTCCCTGCTGATTCTGTGTGTATTGCGCTTGGTGTGGAATCTATTCATGAAGTTGAAAAGGGACATTTTCTTCTCTCTTCTCTCATGGAACTAAAATTATGATAACCTTATCTTGCTCACTTGAATATATAGATTTTAGGGAAGCCATGGGAATATCTTGTCAGAAGGGAGTTCCTATCGTAGCCTGCATGTCTTTTTCCCCTGTACCTAGTTTTATTAAAATAAAGAAGGCAGTAATAATGTTGTGGTTTTTTTTTTTTTTTTTAGTTCTAATGTTGTTTGTTCTCCTTGGAGCCAGGTGAAATCTGTTCAAGTAAAAAATTTGAGTCACATAGACCCAAACTTGTATTTTTTAAAAAATAAATCTCTTGAACTCTCCATATAAAAAATAGTAAAAATTAAATTATTTTTTAGACTACCACATCCTGAATTTGTTTTCACACCTTTTCATTGATATAGTTGAAATTCTCTAATAGTCCTCTCTTTCTGTCTCCCTCTGTCTCCTTTTGTTAACACCCTTCCCTACTGAAAACAATTGCCAGTACTCTACTACATGCTTTGGGAATGATACATGTGTGGTTACCACCTACTTTAACTGTGTTGATAATAATGGAATGAATGCTCTTTTCAGGGAACAGAATAGTTATGGAAACTATGCCAATTATCACTGATAAAAAGTTATATTGATCTAGATGTTATGTTTACAGATTAGTCCTCTCAAGTTTTGATGAGAACTAAGAGAGACAATAAAGACATCTTTCTCTTTCTAAATGTTAAACGTTGTGAAGGGCTATATGGGAATATGCCTTTGCTACCCTCGCTATGAGACCTCATAGACTTTGAGAGCCTTATTTCCATTAAGTCAGAAATATGAACTACGGGGGCCTCCCCGGTGGCGCAGCGGCAGAGCGCTGGGTTGCGAAGCTGCCCACAGCCTCTGCAGCACCGGTTCGATCCCAGGCTGCTCCCCGGCCACCGGAGGAGGGTCCCACATGGTGCACAGACCTCTCCTGCCGCCCGCTGCTCCCCTCAGCAGTGTACTTCGGTCCTTCTGCCTGCTCTGCTCCCCGCTCTGGCTCTGGTGAATTCTCTCACCCTCCTGCGCTTCTGACTGTACCCAGTGCATGTATAAACAGACAAACAAACAAATAAATAAAACATGCCTCTATTAAAAAAAAAAAAGAAATATGAACTACGGGAGACCCATTGCCACATAGGCAAAATGATTTGAAAATTGTTTCTTCTAAACACCACACTATAAATTAACCCCTGAACAAGTGGTTCTTTCCTTTTGGGGATCAAAAGGAAGAAAGTTCTAACTCCTCTCTTCTATATATGGATACGTTTTCTTGGGAAAAAAAAAACAGTTTTATTACTATAATTATTTAATTATGTCCCTCTCAATCTCTCTCCCTTCCCCTTTGTCCCCACCCTCCTGCCCCGAAGTCACAATGTTGTTTTTTTTTTCCTTGAAATTTCAGAAAGTTTTTGACCTCTGCTCCCTCAAAGAGCACCTGACTTGCCTTGGGGAAAATTATGTAAACCAGTCAGCCCAAGTATCTCTATAGGATAAGAGGCTGGAAAAACTGGGGTTGCGAAGAGATAGCAGATTGCAAAAGAGCCAGCTTACTTAGAGTCATTTTGAGTACAGGTCATTGTCCTCAAGTCCCTCACCAGAGCCAAGGAGGATTTGGAATCAGAGGTGTTGGTTCAAGTCCATACCCTTTTCCAATCCTCTTCCTTTCCTAATTAATTGTTTGACTTCAGGCAAGTCATTAAACCTCTCTGACCTTTACATGGAATCATTTTCTCTGTAAATGGAATCTTGTCAACTTCTCAGGGTTATTTGAATGATCAAAGCAGAGAGAATACAGGACAGGAAGGCACTATTTTTAAGTCCCAAACAAAGCTTGAGGTATGCTTAGTAATTTTTTATAATCCAAACGTTTATTTTTCTTTTAGTTTATTAGTTCTTTTTATATCACATAGGAGGGAAATCATACAGTGTTTAAGTATTAATGCAGGTGCCACTCCCTTACTTTCAACTTCAGGCTGCCTGCTTGTCCGGTGTCCAGTTCTCAGCTCCACTGTCACCTCCCCAGGGAACCTTTGCAAGCACCAGTTCTAAAGTAGCTCTCCCCCTTATGCTCCATTCCAGCCCCCTCCTTTATTATAATCAAGGCACTTCCTACATGTGCAGAGTTTCATTTTTACTTGTTTATGGATAATTTCTTGTCTCTCTACCCACACGAGAAAGCAAGCTTCTGAGGGCAGAGCCCTCACCAGAGTCTGAAGCCTTCATGGTCTATGGTGGACACTCAAATTTTGGTGAGTCCACTCGCAGGGGGGTAAGCGCACAGAGACTTTGGATTTGAATCCCAGCTCTTTATTAGTTACTTCAAATTAATTTATTACTTATTAGTAATTTATTTAATTTAAATAAGATATTAGTAACTTATTAATTACTTTACATTTCCTAGATTGGTTATTTAACTTCTCTATACTAACACATGTAAAGTACCTAAATTAATTCCTGACACTTAATTTAAGTGCTGTTTTCTACTCCAGTGAGCGAAGGAAATGTTAATACGTGAAGAGTGAACACACGTGACCCTCTAAGAGCAGCAGATCCGCTCCGTTGCCTCAGCTTTGACTGCAAAAAGACATTCTTTTTTGGTAACACTCGCTGGCACCGCGTCGCCGCCTGGCCCGCCGCGGCTCAGCGGAAGGGGAGTTACGTTTCTGACTCCGACAGAGCCCCGGTCACCCCCAGGCGGCACTGTTCGGGTTCTCCCGGCCCGGGGTGTCCGATCCCTCGCGGGGCGCTTCTACTGGGGTCCACCGAGCCCCGCGCCGCGTCCGGAATCGCAAGGGACCCTCCAGCCGATCCGCGAGCCTCCTGCTGGCCGGCGGTGCCGGGACACGCACAGGTGCCTGGCGCACCTGCGGGACAGAGCCCCAGGGCCGTGGGAACCTGTCCCGGAGGGGCGGGGCCGGGGGCGGGGCGATCGAGGGGCGGAGCCACAGGGAAGGGCGACAGGCGGACGGGACGGGGCGGGGCGAGGAGGCGGGGGGCGGGGCCACGAGCGCCGGGACTCGGACTCTGACTCCGACTCCTTGGCGCTGGCTGGACCTCGCATTCTCCCGGGCTCCGCGCATCGGGCGCGCTCCAGCCAGGTAAGGTCCCCGCGGGCCGGCAGGGTCCGCCGCGGGACTCGGGGACTCCGGGCCGGGGAGGGTCGGGAACGAGATGCTCGCCGCAAGAGGTGCTTCCACTGGCTCGAAGGGCGACCCTTATGGGACGAGAGGCTTTTCGGATCCGTGTCCTGGCGAGCTCTGTCGCGCCACGGGTGAGGGACGCATCCACCTTGGTCCGGGAAGAGGTACAGGTGCGCTCCTGCGGGTAGCCGGGTCCTTCGGCCCGGCTCTGACTGCGCCCCGGGAGCAGTCGCCCCTTTCTGTTTTGGTCCCAAAGCCGAGGCCGCTCCGCGGCTTGTCGGGGGCTGAGTTCACTTCCCAGCTGCGCGGCTGGGTGGATTCCTCCCTTCTGCTCGGGCGGCAGCGCAGGCTTGCGTGGAAGCTGGCAGAATCTGCCCAGACCTTCCGCAGTTGCACGTGTCCGAGTGCCTCCCTCCACCAACCTCACTTTTTTCCTCCTGGGAAATTATGTTTGGATTTTGAATCTAGGATTTCGACAAACCCCCTAGGTGCATGACATTTTGGAAAAACTAGGGCCTTAAGCCAGGAGTGCGCATTTTCTCTCGGATCCTAAATTTCCTTTTTATTTATTTATTTTTCCCAAAGAAAGAATAACACGTTGCTGTGCACCAGGTCTGGACACAGTCTCATGTATTGCCATTCTTTGGAAACAGGAATATTTGATTAGAAGGGTTGATCTTAATTTAACTTGGAACAACAATCTGGTGGCTAAGTGGGTTTGAAGATTATCCAAAGTAGTTAAGTGTTTTGAGCTTATACTCTGTATTTTTCCAGTGAGTGCTCATTTTCCTGGTAGGTAATTCTGAGAATTTACTCTTCTAGATGATGATTCTCCCCTAAACAGCCCAAGAGGTAAAACAAAACCAAAAACGTCTCAACAAACCAAGGAGTTGCCCCCTAAAATGTAGATTTAACAGGTTAGCTTGTGACAGTGGTATTCCCTTAGTCAGCAAAAATCAAATGTAGTATGGAATGCCATGATTTATATAGAGAAAGGAAAAGTAAGTGTAATTTTCTCCCTATGTACTTGAAAGTATTTTTTAATTTGGTTACATTTTCAGTGTTTAGGGAAGACCTACATTTCCCCCATACTCCAAATTAATCTCATCGATATATTACTACTCTTGCCAGCTCATGATGCTTGCTGCAGTGTGTTTATGTTAATGATCTTGATTCATCCCACAAGGGTGTGCACGTTTTGGTTTGTGGAACTGTATAGGGCAAGTGTTGTAAACATGCAAATCAGGGCTGTGCTCCAGGTGACAATACCTTTGTTCCATATAGATATTGAACAAGAATTTTCACATCTTCCTTAATAGAAAAGAATGTAGGCTATTAATATATGTTCTAGCATCTCAGACTATATAACTACTGATTCTCTAGCAACATAGTCATGTTTTCTCAGCACCTAGTTCCTCAAGGACAGGGGCTATGTTTTATCAGTTCAGGTTAAAGCTCAAAGATTGATGACCTTTGCTCCCTGAAGTTGACCCTTGATAGGTGATAGGGTGGCTGCAGAAGTTGTAAGCAGTATCTAGTCCACAGTTTTGCTTTGGAAAGAATTACTGGTTTCCCTACCTTCCTCTGGGTATTCTGAGTGCTGGGAGCCTAGGCCTCAGGCCTCCAAGCACACTTCTGCCTACAGGTTCCTTCAAGTTGGTCTGGTTGGTACCTCCTCTTCCTTCTCCTGGGCTTCCACCCTGCTCCACCCCTCCCTGGATTCCTACCTCTAGGGAGCATCTCCTTATTATTTAGGACAGAAAGAGGGGTTCAGAGAGTTGACAGGGAGTGTGATCCTCAGCTGGGTGCTGGTTGCTTACTAAGTATCTGTTGATGAAGGTGTCACTTGTTTCAGAGCTCTTAATATGCTCTCCTTTTATCCTGAATATGTAGACAATGTGGAGAAAACTGAGGTAGAACCCAGATCAACTGCCTTACTTTGATTGGGATCATAAATTGGGTATTTGAGTGTATTAGAAAGGAGTGAAATTGGCCCATGGTCACTGGTAATTGTAAAATTGTCCTGCACTATGTGATTATGTCAGGACAGTAACTTTGTTGAAAAGAACCCCGGAGGAGAGGGACTTAGTAGTTACTTCCACCTCCAAACTGCACTTGGGCTTGCCTTTTTGTCCCTGTTCTAGCCCAACCAGTTCTTCCTTGGATGGATCATAGATATTAAATTTCTGGGGCATGTTTGACTATTTGGAGCTCAGGTGACTACAGAGCTAGCATGGTCTAGGTGTAGAAAATTACATCTTCTTTTGTTTTGGGGAAACAAAGATGGAATTTTTCAAAGCAGATTGTTATTAGGGAAATAGAAAAAGCAAATAAATGAAAAATTGTATAGACATAAAAGCCAGTATGGGTTTTTGTTTTGTTTTTATTCAAGTTACACTTCCACCTCTCATGAAACAACATGTAATTCTTTGAGCTGGGTATTGTGGTATTTATTCCTTATGGTTGATATTTTATTTGAGTTTTTCAATTGTAAGCATTATGTGTTAACTTCCCAATGGAAGGTGATGACTTGGCTCTATCCCTTGACCTTTCCTCTATCCCCCAACACAACCACATCTTCCCTATTTTCTCATTCATGTAATAGTTAACAGTAATTTTGGCTAGATCAATATTTGTAGTTAAATCAAGCACAACTTTTTGTTTTCCTTAGAGTTAATAATTGTTTTGGTTTTTCATTTGCTTAGGTTTTTTTTTTTTAGGTGCTCATGAGAACTTTGACTTAAAACTCTTGGCCAGTTTTGTAAATATTCCTTCAAATGCCTCAGGTATTCCGTCAGTTTCATTTTTCCAATGAAGCCATCCCTGAACCTCCTGGCTTGCTCTAAGTTGGAGTAGTTGCCCTCTACACATGGCCAATAACTATCACCCTAAAGACCTTATTTATTATCTTCCTGGGTGTTCCCATTTTTTCTCTCTTGTGCAGAATCTCTTGTTACCTATATCCCATGCCTTCCTTTGTTTTGCTAGACTCCCCTGTATTGGTACAGCACGTCTTTAAGGAGCTCCCTTGCAAAAAATGTGTTTGGGTATCTATTTTTTTTTTTTTTTTTTTTTAGATAGTGAGTGGCTGAAAATTCCCATTTTCCACTCACTGTTGATAGTTTGGCTGAGTGTAGAATTCTGGGAATTTGAAGGCATTGCTCCATTGCATTCTAGCTTGTGGTGGTGGTGGTGTGAAATTCAGAACTGTTTTGATTCCTTAATTTGTGCCTGTAACATGGATACAGATCACAAAACTGCTGTTTCCTTTCTGGAAGTTTATAGAACTCTCTCTTAGCTTCCATAATCTTGAAATTTCATGATGTTGTGTCCTTGATATGTGTCTATTTTCATCCACTGTGTTGGGTTCTTTGCATCTGGAACTTAAGATTCTTCAATTTGGGAACTTTATTGAATTACTCATTGGTTATTTTCTGTGATGTCTGTTGCAGAAACTCCACTCAGATAAATGGATATTTTGGACTGGGCCTATAATTTCCTTATCTTTCCTGATATCTACTTATTTTTTTGGTTCTACTTTGGGGGGAGATTGTATCAATTTTATCATTTCACTCCTTCCACTATAATCATGCTTTTAACATTTTAAATTAAAAGTTCTTTTTCTTTGTTTTCTGAATAGATATGTATAATATATATGTGTGTGTGCATGCTATGTGTATCTGTTTATTTCTTTTTTTTGGTTTTATGATTTCAGTGTCTTATTTCCTTGAAGACTGTAATGGTTTTGGGGGAAGTTTTTATTTTTTTCTTCCTCATAGACTCAGGTTCCCCAAATTGCTTCTCTCTGTTTATTTGTTTAGATTTCTACTCATGTTAGAGACTTTCCTTATATTTATTTTACCCTGGGTTGTCTGCTCACATTTGAGTGGGGGATTCAAAAACTAGAAATGTGTGTCAACTTGTTGACAGGGAACTTCACTGTAGGGTGATCTAACTGGGTCTTTTATTTGGGGAACTTCTGAAATCAGTTCCTCATGGGCCTAGTGAGAGTCCTCAGAACAGGTGGGTCTTTTTCTTAGAGGTTGGGGAGAGCTGGGTCACCAGTGATCTTGGAATAAGGGGAGAAAAAAGCTGAAAGTCTCAGCATCCTGTATGCAGATGTGTATATGACCTCTCCATGGTGTTTTCATTGAAACCCTTGAGCTCTATCTGGTGTACTTGAATTTAAGAAAGTTGTCTTTTACCCTCTTGGGGTGGGAGTGGGGGAGGTAAAAAATGCCAGTTTTTTTGTTTTTTTGTTTGTTTGCTGGGGTGATCACCTAACTGCTCAGAGTAGCTCTAGAGATCTGGAAGATAAACTGCTTTTTTTTTTTTTTTTAGATTTACTTATTTATGCATACAAGAGCTGGGGTACAGGCCTGAGGGGGGTGTTGAGAGGATCACCAGAGACAGAGTGGGGAACAGAACAGGCAGATTGATTGAAATACACTGCTGAAGGGAACAACAGGAGAGACAGGAGAGGTCTGCTGTGCCATGTGGGTAGCTCCCTGGCCAGGGATTGAACTCGTGCTGCAGTGGCTGTGGACAGCTTCATAGGTTGTGTCTCAACAACACCTTGCACCACCAGGGAGGCTCTGAAATATAGATTTCTTAACCATCCTCTTTCCAGATAAAGATAAAGATAAAAACAGAGACTAGCATAGTTCAGCCATGGAGTGTGCTGCCGTTTACCCAACTTTACCCACAGTCAATATTTTTTAACCAATTTGGATATATTCTCTCCTAGTGAGGTCTTGCTCTGTCATGTTGTTCTCTAAATATCTTAACTTTCAGTGAAGTTCAGCTTCTGCAAATATAATATTTCAACTTGAAAGATGGGGCTAGTGTCATTGGAAGCTATGTGGCTCAGTAGAAGTCATTATTTCCTTCCGGAGGCCAGTTTATCACACAGATGCCTTACCAGCGGCAGCATCCTCTCTTCCCATTTCCAAGCTTGT